TGAGGACAGTGGATAGAGTCAGAAACCAGAGAGAGAGAGGACAGTGGATAGAGTCTGAAACCAGAGAGAGAGAGGACAGTGGATAGAGTCTGAAACCAGAGAGAGAGAGGGACAGTGGATAGAGTCTGAAACCAGAGAGAGAGAGGACAGTGGATAGAGTCAGAAACCAGAGAGAGAGAGGACAGTGGATAGAGTCTGAAACCAGAGAGAGAGAGAGAGGACAGTGGATAGAGTCTGAAACCAGAGAGAGAGAGAGGACAGTGGATAGAGTCTGAAACCAGAGAGAGAGAGAGGACAGTGGATAGAGTCTGAAACCAGAGAGAGAGAGAGAGGACAGTGGATAGAGTCTGAAACCAGAGAGAGAGAGGACAGTGGATAGAGTCAGAAACCAGAGAGAGAGAGGACAGTGGATAGAGTCAGAAACCAGAGAGAGAGAGAGAGGACAGTGGATAGAGTCTGAAACCAGAGAGAGAGAGGACAGTGGATAGAGTCAGAAACCAGAGAGAGAGAGGACAGTGGATAGAGTCAGAAACCAGAGAGAGAGAGAGGACAGTGGATAGAGTCTGAAACCAGAGAGAGAGAGAGGACAGTGGATAGAGTCAGAAACCAGAGAGAGAGAGAGGACAGTGGATAGAGTCTGAAACCAGAGAGAGAGAGGACAGTGGATAGAGTCAGAAACCAGAGAGAGAGGACAGTGGATAGAGTCAGAAACCAGAGAGAGAGAGAGGACAGTGGATAGAGTCTGAAACCAGAGAGAGAAGGGACAGTGGATAGAGTCAGAAACCAGAGAGAGAGGACAGTGGATAGAGTCTGAAACCAGAGAGAGAGAGGACAGTGGATAGAGTCAGAAACCAGAGAGAGAGAGGACAGTGGATAGAGTCAGAAACCAGAGAGAGAGAGGACAGTGGATAGAGTCTGAAACCAGAGAGAGAGAGGGACAGTGGATAGAGTCAGAAACCAGAGAGAGAGGACAGTGGATAGAGTCAGAAACCAGAGAGAGAGAGGACAGTGGATAGAGTCTGAAACCAGAGAGAGAGAGAGGACAGTGGATAGAGTCTGAAACCAGAGAGAGAGAGGACAGTGGATAGAGTCAGAAACCAGAGAGAGAGAGGACAGTGGATAGAGTCAAACCAGAAGAGAGAGGACAGTGGATAGAGTCTGAAACCAGAGAGAGAGAGGACAGTGGATAGAGTCAGAAACCAGAAGAGAGAGAGGACAGTGGATAGAGTCAGAAACCAGAGAGAGAGAGAGGACAGTGGATAGAGTCAGAAACCAGAGAGAGAGAGGACAGTGGATAGAGTCTGAAACCAGAGAGAGAGAGGACAGTGGATAGAGTCAGAAACCAGAGAGAGAGAGGACAGTGGATAGAGTCAGAAACCAGAGAGAGAGAGAGGACAGTGGATAGAGTCAGAAACCAGAGAGAGAGAGGACAGTGGATAGAGTCTGAAACCAGAGAGAGAGAGAGAGGACAGTGGATAGAGTCAAACCAGAGAGAGAGAGAGAGGACAGTGGATAGAGTCAGAAACCAGAGAGAGAGGACAGTGGATAGAGTCTGAAACCAGAGAGAGAGAGGACAGTGGATAGAGTCTGAAACCAGAGAGAGAGAGAGGACAGTGGATAGAGTCAGAAACCAGAGAGAGAGAGGACAGTGGATAGAGTCAGAAACCAGAGAGAGAGAGGACAGTGGATAGAGTCTGAAACCAGAGAGAGAGAGGACAGTGGATAGAGTCTGAAACCAGAGAGAGAGAGGACAGTGGATAGAGTCAGAAACCAGAGAGAGAGAGGACAGTGGATAGAGTCTGAAACCAGAGAGAGAGAGAGAGAGAGGACAGTGGATAGAGTCTGAAACCAGAGAGAGAGAGAGAGAGGACAGTGGATAGAGTCTGAAACCAGAGAGAGAGAGAGAGAGGACAGTGGATAGAGTCTGAAACCAGAGAGAGAGAGAGAGAGGACAGTGGATAGAGTCTGAAACCAGAGAGAGAGAGGACAGTGGATAGAGTCAGAAACCAGAGAGAGAGAGAGAGGACAGTGGATAGAGTCTGAAACCAGAGAGAGAGAGGACAGTGGATAGAGTCAGAAACCAGAGAGAGAGAGGACAGTGGATAGAGTCAGAAACCAGAGAGAGAGAGGACAGTGGATAGAGTCTGAAACCAGAGAGAGAGGACAGTGGATAGAGTCAGAAACCAGAGAGAGAGAGAGGACAGTGGATAGAGTCTGAAACCAGAGAGAGAGAGGACAGTGGATAGAGTCTGAAACCAGAGAGAGAGAGGACAGTGGATAGAGTCTGAAACCAGAGAGAGAGAGGACAGTGGATAGAGTCAGAAACCAGAGAGAGAGAGAGGACAGTGGATAGAGTCTGAAACCAGAGAGAGAGAGGACAGTGGATAGAGTCAGAAACCAGAGAGAGAGGACAGTGGATAGAGTCTGAAACCAGAGAGAGAGAGAGACAGTGGATAGAGTCAGAAACCAGAGAGAGAGAGGACAGTGGATAGAGTCAGAAACCAGAGAGAGAGAGACAGTGGATAGAGTCTGAAACCAGAGAGAGAGAGGACAGTGGATAGAGTCAGAAACCAGAGAGAGAGGACAGTGGATAGAGTCTGAAACCAGAGAGAGAGAGGACAGTGGATAGAGTCAGAAACCAGAGAGAGAGAGGACAGTGGATAGAGTCAGAAACCAAAGAGAGAGGACAGTGGATAGAGTCTGAAACCAGAGAGAGAGAGGACAGTGGATAGAGTCAGAAACCAGAGAGAGAGAGGACAGTGGATAGAGTCAGAAACCAGAGAGAGAGAGAGGACAGTGGATAGAGTCAGAAACCAGAGAGAGAGGACAGTGGATAGAGTCTGAAACCAGAGAGAGAGAGGACAGTGGATAGAGTCAGAAACCAGAGAGAGAGAGGACAGTGGATAGAGTCAGAAACCAGAGAGAGAGAGGACAGTGGATAGAGTCAGAAACCAGAGAGAGAGAGGACAGTGGATAGAGTCAGAAACCAGAGAGAGAGAGAGGACAGTGGATAGAGTCTGAAACCAGAGAGAGAGAGAGGACAGTGGATAGAGTCTGAAACCAGGGAGAGAGAGAGGACAGTGGATAGAGTCAGAAACCAGAGAGAGAGAGAGGACAGTGGATAGAGTCTGAAACCAGAGAGAGAGAGAGGACAGTGGATAGAGTCTGAAACCAGGAGAGAGAGAGGACAGTGGATAGAGTCAGAAACCAGAGAGAGAGAGAGGACAGTGGATAGAGTCAGAAACCAGAGAGAGAGGACAGTGGATAGAGTCAGAAACCAGAGAGAGAGGACAGTGGATAGAGTCTGAAACCAGAGAGAGAGGACAGTGGATAGAGTCAGAAACCAGAGAGAGAGAGAGGACAGTGGATAGAGTCAGAAACCAGAGAGAGAGAGGACAGTGGATAGAGTCTGAAACCAGAGAGAGAGAGAGAGGACAGTGGATAGAGTCAGAAACCAGAGAGAGAGAGAGAGGAATGACATGTGGAAAGGGGCCACGGGTGGAAGCGAACCCGGGCCTACCGCTCGAGATGAGAGTCTCAATACATGGGACGCGCGCCCTAACCATTGCACCACCAGCGCGCCCCGGCGTGTAAGATTCACATTAATTACTTGAAAGTCAAACTTTTCGAGTTGATTTCTAATAACCTGAAAATATGTATTTCTTTTCAGAGCAGCTGAGTTTAACCTTTAACAGGCCTGACAGTAACCAAGCGACCACCTCCACTGTTCAAAGTGACGCTGGCGCAGAAGTGTCAAAAACTGAAGTTTAGCCCTCTAGTGGCCGTTGGGAAAAATACAGGTTCAAAACGTGTTGCATTAGCTTCCACTTCTTATAAACAGTCCGTGGTTAAGAATCAATGAGAACTTTGGTCATACCCGTATGCGATTGGGTGTTCCAGGTCGTGACCCTCGGGGACACGGTACCAGAAGAGGTTGTGTCCGGTGCTCTGCGTGGAGGAGTAGTTGTAGACGGAGGGATGAGAGAAAAGAGGACAGGAGAGCCAGCCTGCATCCCCGTCCACGATGGAGACCGCCCCCTGGCTGGACTCCCCCCAGTCATAACATATGGGCTCTGAGGGAAGGGAGAATGTAAAGGTTAGTAATTCAGCAGCGTAACCATCCGCCATGAACTTCTGTGTATCATCTGCAAAGAAATAAACTGAGATAGTGTATAACTCTGACCCCTAGTGTTTAAAATGGGTACTGCAGTCTAAATTCTAAACATCATAGAGAGCTGTCTCCCCCACTCCTCTCTAGAGTGGATGCTCACTCAGGTCACCATGTGGTGGACTCTGAAGCTTCAGTGTTTATCCAGCTCTGCATGGGTCTGTAAACCTTTCTGTGTTCTAACCTCTCTCCATTTTTCAAAAGCATCTCCAATATTGATCCTAGTTTGAGCACGTTTCTGCTCGTGGAGCTTATTAGAAACATGCAGAGGCTTTTTAGGTCGGGTACAATCAGTTCTATCTGAACCACTTCTCTTGACCGCTTCCATCGCTGCAACACCTGTTGACCTGATAACTGCTCTCATATCTGACAAACAGAGGGGCGTCCAAAAAGGACATGTGTGTGGGGGGCCTTAAAAGCGCCTACCTTCTCTGGTCCAAACAAATCCAGAGCATTCAGGAGCAGAATCTAAAGTTAGAAGGAGGACATACTGGCTGCTGCATTGTTGTCAGAGAAGCCAGCACTTCAACATAGCATGTTTCCTTAATGATCAGAGAGTAAGATACCTTTATCATCTCACTCTCTACACATCTCACTGATTGGACCTGTAATAATATTAATGATAGAGTGAGCTGACAGGGGACATCTCTCTCTCTCTCTCTGGGTCGGGTCCAGGCTGTTGATGCGTCTCTTATTGAGAGTTTTTATGTGAGAATCAAACAGAGCTTAGTAGATGTCATCGTTAACTGGTCTTGTTAAAGGGACGTTATTACACTTCCATCTCATTAAAGGATTGGAGCATAGAGGGCGGCCGCTCCATTAAAAACCCTGAAACTCATCTGAGCTGCACGAAGAACGCTTTCTACAGAAAAATGACATCAGACAGTGAGAGGAGGCCGGCTTTATCTGAGAGGAGGCTGGACCTACTGCTTTCACTTTTCACATTCAAGACATTTATTTAAGGCACTTACAAAATGAAAGAGTTTGAATGAAGACATAACCAAACAGTGCAGTGAAAGTTAGACATGGAGATATCTTTGACCTCCATGCTGAAAATATCCCACATGCCAAGGCCAGTGACGTTATTGGGGTGGAGTTGGACTCTCTGACGCCGGTGTCAGAGAGGAGGACGCTAACTAAGTTGCGTTGCAACAGCAATGTCTACCACCCACTCCACGATGCACCACAGAACGCCACAGGAGTTCATTCCTGCCTGTGGCCATCAAACTTTATAACTCTTCCCTTTGAGTGACAAACACTCCGTCTGACCCTGGACTATTTCAGCTTGAAAAACATTTCCCTCTGGGATTAATAAAGTATTTCTGATTCTGATGTCTTGAGTTGTTCATGGGTAAGAACTTTGAAAATCTAAATGGATATTGATACTAAGGGTAAAGGTCTTACCCATAAACAACTCTTCACTCTGCCTTAAAACTTTATGAAAACATTCTGAAACTTTGGGAACCGCCCACCTGACGGCCAAGAAAGTCTTTCTACCGATCTGACGAGGAGACGAGCCGGGTTGTTCTTCTATAGAATGTGTAAAGTTTTAAAGAAAACCAAGAGAGGAGGAGATAGTGGTTCAATGTCCCACAACACTGACCGACAGTGATACCATCGTTAGCTAACGTTAACCAGCTAATGGTAGATAATTAGTACTTACTGATGCTTTGATGAATTTCTTGCCCTTAACTTCCCAATTGGCAGCATTATTGACCCGGACACATCAAATATAAATGGAGCTGTCTGTACGTTTTGAAGACTTTCATTCTGGCGGTGTAGGCATAAGGATTCTCCATTCAAGATGGCGCTCTGGTGAAGACTTTGCCCGTTCTCAGAGGGTCACAAATACCCCAAACTCTCAGTTCATCTTCATATTTCTGTTGTTCTGTGGTGGTCAGGTGACAGCAGGTGATGTAAGCAGGCCTCTTTTTGAAGAGATGGTAAATTAAAAAGACTGTGCAGCAGCTCCGCAGAGTGTTCGATGGAAAGCTTTGATTTCTCTGTTGCTAATGGCGACAAATGAAGCCTCTGGTGTGTGACACATCTGAGCTCGCACCGCTTAAGATTGTTTTTTTTGTCTTTCCACAGGGAATTAGCCCCGAATGAATCCTGCCAATTGATTACATGGACTAACGCTTTGACTCAAGGAGTCAGTCTTTAATGAATCAATCAGTCATAAAGAGACCCACACCCTCCTCCTGGTCCTCATTTATAATGTACGAGTTAATTAGATGGAGGATAAAGATGATGACTGTTCACTACGTGGTAATAACAGTGATGACTAATGATAGTCAGACTTCTTCATACACTGAAGTCAGACCACAGGACGGGCTGACTGTGAGGATTACTGAATGATCTCTGGAGGACCAAAACGAGGAAACAGAATCAGGTGACTCATCAATGAAATCACATCCTCTTCAAAGCCGCTCCGCCAACATCTTCCCAGAAGAACTCCAAAAACGGACGTGCCAAAGAACTTTAGAAATGTAAAAACAAAAACAACAGATTGGAAAAAAAAAATCATCATTTAAAAAGGACCATGAAGTTAATGATGCATACCCTTTTGAAACCCTCAAAATGTTAGCATCCCCCTAAAAGCGCACTGACGCTACCAAGAGGACTCAAGAATACAACTCAAAAAACTCAGAAGTTCAAAAACCACCTCAATCCTCAAAGTTGACATTTAAATTATCTTTGAAATGTCTTACGCTGTAGGATTGTATAAAAGTCGCGCCGGAATTTCAGATCACACTGTACGACTGAATCGTATGAGACGCACGACCAAAGCTCAAGATTTATTTGCTCACGACTGTCAATCACAACCTGAGCGCTCACACTGTACGAGTGAAATCAGGACAGAGCATTCACAACTGTCAAGAGAAAACTCCAGACGGAAGTTGAAGTCAGATATATGTGTATTTTAGTTATCTCATCTGCATGGCTCAAATACACAAACACTCTCCTCTTCACACTCAGCATCCCAGACAAACACGAGCTAACAAGCAGCTGTATCATAACACGAACACTCAGTCAGCTGGAGGTCTGCAGAGATTTCCTGCCAACGTTTCTTTCATGATTGGAAGGGGGGGAATACAGATTAAACAGTCACGCCTGCTGTTGCCATGGTGATTTTGGAGGCTGTCTATCAGTTTATTTGTGCAAGCACAATCAGAAATAAAAACTGCAGACAAATATCAAATATGACCAAAAACAAAATCATCCGACCGGTCGAGAGCAGCTGATTGGTCCACGATTGTAAGGCATGCCTCAGTGGACGATGTGGATTGGGCCAAAGACTTTGATACAATAACAGCACAAATTTCAATACCTGTTGTGACACCACAGCATCAACAATAAAAGGCCTAGACATGAAGTACTCGTCCATTTCTTTTTTAATTACCAAAGATTGCAAACACACTTCTGCACACTGTCTACATTTTACAAAACGTTGGTAACATTTGGTCGCTAATCGAGTCTATGTTTGGGTACTGGAACGTAGACGGTGCTCTTTCTCTCACATTTCAGACATCGACTGATCATAGAGGATGTTTAAGTACGTAAACAACAACAGTTTGAAGCAGCTGTAATTTATGAAAAATTATCAAAAACAGAAACTCTGAACTAACGTGAATCTGCAGAGGAATCAGAGGCCTTTTTACGGTCCAGAGCCTCAGTTTGAGACCCTTAAGTGCAGGACAGTGTCATCCCTGCTGGCTCCTTTGGGATCTGAACCCTGAACGCTGGATTAATGGAGGCTCTGTACACTGTCTGTGTGTGTGTGTGTGTGTGTGTGTGTGTGTGTGTGTGTGTGTGTGTGTGTGTGTGTGTGTGTGTGTGTGTGTGTGTGTTGGTAATTGACCTGTCAGGTTTCACCAGATGGAGTATTAGTCTTTCTATTAAAACCCTCTCCAACATCCATCCACCTCCTCTTGCTCCCTCACTCTCCATCCATCCATCCTCCAGTAATACCTTCACCCCTCTCCCCCCTTCCCCCCTCCCCCAATCCTCCCCGAGCACTAACATCCCCCCCTCCACCTCCTCACACTCCTGTTATCCATCCATCCACAACGTCCCGCTGTGGGTCCAACAATCTCCTGCAGGCTTCTATATAAAACACGCTTCCTAATAGTTGGTTTTAATACAAGCCCCGCCTCTGACTGGGCAAAAGGCCAATCACAGGGGTGGCCAATCAGATTTCTAAGGGTCCCCATGCCTCCCCTCTGGACACAGCCCTGGCTTCAGGTATTTTTGAAGTATGTCAGACCTTGATCATGTGCTGTGGCACCTTCCCGTCTTGATTTTTACAAAACAGAGACAAACAGTAAAAAGTATAAATAGGTGTTAACGTTACACTGAAGTGTGAGTCAGCCACATTTTAACACTGACATATCGTTCTGCATCGAGGCGTCTTTCTCACTAATGTGTCCTAGTGGCCATTCACAGTACTGCAGCAGAAAATCAATGAAGTCTATTATTACTCACTGGTTTGTACTTTTTTTGAATCCTGAAGGTTTTAGATGTATGTAACTCCCCGGAGCCTGAAGATATGTGAGCACAAGTGAATCTACGGGTCATTAAACATATTCATGAATATATTTCTGCAGCTTGTTGGTAAAATAAACCCAAAAACTCCCCGAAGGATTCTTTCAATATGAGATAATGTTATTCACCCACATCCCATCAACTGCATCCATCCTCCTCCAAACCGACCTCCCATCGTCCACCAGCCCCTCCCCCTCCTCTGCGCCCCCACACACTCAGACAGAGTTACAAATGAGCCTCCTCTCTCCGGAACCATCCGTTCCTCGTCCCACGGGGCGAGGGCTTCGGCTTTTAATTAACCCCGCTTTCTGCAGAGTCGCACCAAATGAACAAGAAGAATTTTTTTTTTTTTTTCCATCTCACAGTTTCACAATGTTGGAGATAGAACACATTATTAGGATCATCTTTTATATTCTTTTGAATTCCCTTCACCTGAAGAAGAAAATCCACCACCGCATGCAGGAACCAGGAAATGTGCAGAACATGTGACCTTTGAGCGTTCAAGGTCAAAAACAAGAATTTCACCACTCAGACGTAAAAGTTGATTTCTGCTCTGATCACAAACCTACCTGTTGGCTCGCTCGACTGACTGACAGCTGGTGTGACCCCGAGCACCACGATGAAGAGGAAGGCGAGGGTGGAGATGAAGGTCGCCCTGCAGGAGACAGAGACGGTGTAAACATGAGGGATCATTACTTTTCTTTTCATGTGATGTTTTGATTCAAAGGTTCTGCTGTTGGAGTCATACGACAATAAATAAACTGTAAATGGACTTGAGCTTGTTTATTTCTTTTCTAGTCTTCTGATTGGGGTTAAGTGCCTTGCCCAAGGACACATCGGCCTTGTTGCTGCAGGAGCTGGGGATCCAACCCTCGACCTTCTGGGGGTCTGAGAGACGGCTGACTACCACTGAGCCACAGCTCCCCCAATTGCTGTTACACACAGCAGACTCTACCATCAGTGTGTGATGGTAGAGTATCTCTCTCCCTCCACTCTCTCTCTGTCTCTCTCTCTCTCTCTCTTC